GCAGAGAGCGGAGTAAGTCTCCTTCTAGATACTTCTAGATGTTGATCAGCTGTTTTTTTTTTTCTTTTTTGTCTCTCAGACCCCACCCCCTCCCAACCCTATTATCTGAATCAATCTGCATTAGAAAATTTTACTACAGACACCAGTTTGTGGCCATTTCCTGTACTGCTTCTGTTACTGTCTGCTACTACTGTTCCTGCACACTGTGTCGGTTCAAATAGTTGATGTGGATATGGACTTATAATAGATTCATTTTTTGTTTTTTTGCTCAGGATAACTCTGCCCTGTTCCTGTTGGGTCAGTGTTATGAAAACGGCATCGGTGTGCCGCAGAATGTAAAGACTGCAGTTGAGTTCTACACACGAGCTGCACAAGCAGGAAACAAGCAAGCACAGCGCTTACTTGCACCTTATCATTCAAACAGTAAGGGTGAGTACAGCTGCTCTGTGGGAAACGTTTGCATTAGTCCTCATTTCGGTGTATTTGATAACATTTTATTTCTCTTTTCTCACATATGATAAACTAGATACATCGATTCGCTCCATCCGCTCAGCTCCGTGCTTCTCCTCAGCCGACATTCGCCTCCAGTCGCATTCTCCTCTTGCCAGTCGTGTCTTGTCCTCCTCCGCTCTTCCTCTCCTCCCTCACTCCCGGAGCACCAGCTGCCTGTTTGCCCCTCCATCCCTGTCTTCTGCACCTTTTCACTTCCACCCCCCAGGCACGGAGCGGAGAGCCTGTCAGTGGACAGTTGGGATAGGATAGGTGGCAGGAACCAAAGCTAAATAAGTACGAGGAATGTATTTCAGAGACTGAGTGTAACAATGGTCATTTGCGTTGGGTCTGCAAATACTGTGAGGTCTGGATAAGTGTTTTATAGCTCACATCTGGAAGATGGTTTAAAATAAAGTCTGACAATGAAAAAGCTTTTACTCTTCCAAAAGGCTAGTAATGTCTTATGGTTTTCTCATTCAGCGTTGCCTTATTATGTCAAGCTTCTCTGTTTCCGCACAATTACAGAGAGTTAATCTCATAGAAAGAAGTACTCTTGCCAAATAATGCTGGGAGGTTTCTCATCTTTTTTGAAGCACTGTCATTTAAAATATGTGTTTGGGAAATGTGATGTCTCTTACTTTAAAGATAACTGTTCTCAAAGCCAACCTGTTAACATTTATGCCAGTGTTAATTTTCTAAGAGGATGTTATTATGTGAAGCGCTTATTTTGAAAAAAACTAATACGTTTCTGAATTGTCCTTTCTGTGCAAGTTCTAGGGTGTGTAATTTTATTTAACATAAGCCAAACAAGGCTGTACCCTGTATGCTTGTTTATGCTTGACTCTTGTTACTTCTTTCTGTCAAGTAATGGGACTTTTTGGTTATTTGGTCATTTGAAATTGACCTTTAGGTTTATATGTGTTGTTTTTTTTCCATCAACTGACTCTGCAAGAACAAGCAGGTATAGATGAAAATATAGACCTCTGGTCTAACCTTTATGGAAATGATAATGATCAACAATACTCTTCCATCAGGTGTGCTTCCATTAATCAAATATTCAATTAACTCCAAGTCAATTAAAGACATTTGTATCTAAAAAAAAAATAAATAAATAAATGGGGTTAACATGTAAAAATAAAATCCTCTTCTGATTTGAAGCAACACTTTTATTTTTAAAGCCTGGCTCTTTAAAACACGCCCTGCGTTCCAAGTGTGCGTGATGTAACATCCTGATGATGCGTGACTCAATTAGCCGAGTTGAAACTTAACTCCTGTAGATGTATTATGACGTCTGCCATTGACCGGATGAGCTGAGAAAGAAAGTGGGATAGAAGGAGCTCCACAGCGCCACGCCGCGCCGCTCCGGGGATCAACTGGCGCAGAGAGGGAGCGCACAGCTCGGCCGCCAGCAGCGCATCGAGCCGCGGGGCTGGACAGGGCGGAGGGATGATCTGATGCGGGCGGCCCGGCTCAGAGCTACGGGCGAGACTGTCACTTAAAAGCAGCGCTTGACTCCTGTGCTTCTCGCTACTTTGTGCCTCGTCATTGTGAGAAAGGACGGGAGGCGCGGACAGCTGAGCGAAGCGGTGAGTGGATGTAAATAGATGCTCTAACTGGGATGCGCTCCCCTCCCAGTGCGGCGGTGATGGGGCTGAGGAGAGACAGACATTAAATATCTGCTCTTCCTAATATACCGATTAGATTATATTATATACAATCTCCAATTCTCCATTAGCGTTTTAAGGTAGATTAGATAGGATTAGTATTTCTGTTATCAAGGAGGGAGTTTATGGAGGCTGCAAGAAAAGCAGACGCAGGAATACTCCACCCATGACATCATCGAGTTTTGCAAGTTCAATTTCTTCCCATCCTGAGCTTTCATCTGTTGCATTTCTTTTTCTTCTTCTTTTTTTTTTTTTTTACCAGAAGCAGAACAACTCGGGAGTTGAGGAGGGAGGGAGGAGACACATTACTAATTGGCTTCATGTAAAAAATTTTAATTGAGTTCATCAAATATTCAGGTGAAAACAGACTGATCAGACGTCACAGGCAGCAACAGGAGGTTTTCTTTTTTTTTATATGATAAAGCTTATTCAAGCAGATCTATGAGAAATGCCACGTCCAAAAGGAAAGTCAGCAAACATTTTAACTCTAACATAAGATGCAGTATGGAAAACTCAGACAGAGAGATGATGTCCACTGTGTCTGCTGGTAGCATCTTCCCCCACTCCTGAATAACAGCCCCTGTCACGATGCACAGCAGATTTATTTAGGACCACTTTGCAGGAAGCATAACAATCTCTTTGTGTTGACTGTGTCCCACTAGCCTACAAACTGCTGTGTCATTCTGCTCTCTTTCTCTCTCTAATAACCATCCTTTCTCCTCATACACCCCCCCTCCACTGCATCCTGTCTCTGCCCCACTTTGCCAATAACTACTGGAGACCTGGCTGAATCATCAAAGGAAGGCTTTTCAGGGAGGGAAAGGCTGCTGTTTGTGTGTCAATGATGAACTTTGTGATCGATTACAATGTGAAGCTGAATTCGTTTCGATCAATCCTTTTTTTTTTAAATGTATGGATATGTGTCGTTTACTATAGGCCTATACAATTTAAGTTTAAAATCACTTAAGCTGCAAACGAAACTTCAATGTGTTATTTTCTTTTTCAGGATTTGATTCGCTTTACAGATTAACATGCAAGGGGTCTGAAATTGAGTTTTTAACCTGACTCAGATTCTTTGATTAGGCCATCATAGGATGTTTATATGCTTCAAAAACATTCTAGTGTAGCTCTGGCTGTATGTTTAGGGTTGGTTTTCTAGTAGAAGATGAACCTGCTCCCCATTCTCAAATCATAAGTGGTATCTAGCAGGGTTCCTTTCCGTTCAAGCTGTTTTTAGGCCTAAACATCTGATCAGTTTACCTTTCTTTGTTAACCACAGCATGATATTCCCACCACCGTGTTTTACTGATGAGACAACCTGTTCTGCACTGTCAGTTTTTTGTCAACACCCAAAGAGGAATGACTCCTCTGTAGTAGCCTTCGTTTTGCCGCGATTAAATCAAGGTCGGATTCCTGGAAAGCTCAATAGGTAACGGTTTCACAATTCTCCGTAGAACATTGTAAGCTTGGGAAATTGTAAATAAATACTAAGCTTACACACAGATTGACTTTGCACACTTATAAGTTGACCTCTGGAGGTATTTGTTATGACTATTTAAAATATGTTTTAAATTAAATGCTACTTTGTCTTTGTTTATCACAAAGTCTTTGTAGTTGTGATGAACAAAGACAAAGTCTTAACAATGGGAAAAAAGTCTAGGTGATAGTAATATTTCTATGGCTTTTTGATGTTTGCAATTAGTAAAAAGATGTGTTAAACTTTTTTTTTTCTTTGTGGACAAACAATATTTTTGTCAGGGGTCTTCTGACTTAATTGTTGTCCAGTCTTGCATTAGAATAATGGTTTTGTTGTGACATTGGAGACCTCGGTGAAGGTAGTTTAAACCTGTTGACACAGAACTGCAGATGAACACAGATTCAGCACTAACAGGTTGTTGTGTAGCTCGAGGGGACAACACAACACAGCCGCCACCCAGGTGGAGGGGAGCAGATAGAGGCCCCGCAGCAGCATAATGCACCGTCTAGATATTCGCCTCTTGTTTAAAATGTTCCCCCCTCCCTTTTTCCATGATTGTATCACAGTTTAAGATCTGCTGTGTTTGAGTTTTCCATAACTCTAAGATAAAAGGGCCCTGATGACTGCAGTAATGTACAAGGCAGGTTAGTTTGTGATTAGGTGGCAGGATGTTTATCCTTTTGGCTTGCCTGTTGGGAAATGTTTACCTGCCTGCTTCTCGAAAGGGGTTACAAGAGGGTTAGTTAGTGATGCAACCCACTTTTTTGCATGTGTCATGAAATTGATTGCAATGATTTTCTGTCACTCTTTTTGCTCCTATCAATCCATCTGTGGTCAGCTTTGTAGAGTTGATCCAGCCAGAGATGAAAGAGACAGCTTGTTAGCAGGAGCTGGCTTGCAGCTCTTCTCCCCACAGAACAGCTTTAGTCCTCAGCTCCCACTTTGAATGTGAGTCCTGACTGAATGGATCGAGGGTCTGAATCATTTTATATATCACGCATGTCTATTTCAGCCTCATGATTCTACTGCTGTTTCTTTTTCAATACAAAATCTGAGCCACAATGTCTGGTTAAACTCTTATGGTGCATATATTTAAGCCACATAAAAGAGGTTATTGTGGACAATCCAATTCAGGAGTATTTTGACCTGACAGTATAATTTTTGCCATTTTGTATATTTATTTCAAAGCTGTGCATAATAATAGAATAACTGTCAAAACAATAAATGTTTGTAGTAAACAAAGCAAAGTTACAGAGCTATCTCTCTCTCTAAAAAAATATATATATGTATATATATATATATATATATATATATATATATATATATAAAATTACATTTTTGTTGTGTTTTTTCTCCCAACAGCTCCTTACCAACTGTATATTTCTATTCAGACATGACGTCAATCCAAACCCCTCCCCTTTCACGTTCTGGCTCCTCCCCCTCCACCGGGGGTCTGGCAAATCGCACTACACCTTCGGCTACTCCTCCCACCTCTCTTAGTCTGCGCTCATCCTACAACCAGCTGCTTGGCCGTGACGTCATCAAGGAATCGATGGAAACCGGGAGCTCGGCCACCTTGCCTAAGAGCCGTCAGAGGCACGCAATGACAAGTGTGCGGAGTGCCATGGGGATAAGTGACAATCTGGCTTTGTCGTCCAAGTACCAACCTCTTACCAAAGGAAGAGGACTTCCCACCAAGTCCTCATCCAGTTCTGCCCTTTACTCCTCCTCTTCTTCATCCTCATCATTCTTTAATACAACTAACCCCAAATTGGCGAAGAATGGAGCAAACATGCAGAGGCGAGCGGAGAGCCAGCAGCTACAGCTGAGCAGGGCCAATACTGTGGACAAAATCCACAATGACCTATTCAATAATCCTTCTTCGGATTGGCTAGAGTTTGGGAAAGACAACTCCCAACTTCCTCCATTTCGTAGAAGAACCAAAAGCTTTTTGGAATATCATGGCAAGTGTTGGGATTTGGACCCAAGTTGGGAAAACAAAGAGCTCAAGGAGGAAGAGAAGCAGCCACCTTCATCAGAGAAGGAACAGGATAGTCCGGCCAAAGAGAGAGAAAGTCAGAAGGAGGAAAAGTCCACTAGCAAACAAAACTGCCAAGAGGAAAAGGATAATGTGGAACGTGTGATGGAGGAAGATGAGGAGGAAGATGAGCCCACCCCAACGCCAAGACAGCCCCTGCTGCCAGTGGTGGTTGAAGCACCCCTTTCCTCCACCTCCTCCTCTTCAGCAAACAGCCCTGAGTGGGTGCCAGACAACCTGATTCCCCTTCAGAATAAAACCAAGGCACCAATCCGAGAGGAACTATGTCCCCAAATCCAGGCTAGTCCACGTAGTCCCGCAAAGCCACCTCGAAGCTCCCAGCCTCGGGTGATCAAAGTGGAGCTGCACCCCAACAACGAGAACCAGTTTTTGCAACAGTACCCTACAAGTTCCCCAAAACAGGCCAGAGCTGCTGAAAGACACAACCCTACGAAGACCTGGGCATCTCCCTCTCTGCAGGAACCTAAGTCAGAGACAGGCCTCCCTAGAGTCGGCCTCAAAATGGATATGACTCCTGACACACCATCGGAGGATGAAGACTCTAGCTGGACCACCCTGTCCCAAGAGTCTCCGTCTCCACAGAGTCCAAAAGAGACAGGTTTGATAAGTTTATCCTTTCGTCTAATTTTTGTTTGAAAATGTTTAATATTCATGTCATCCATTAGGGTTAGTCATCTCTCAGTTACATCATCTTTCACACTGGCTGCCTGTGTTTCTACCTCTAACCAATTCTTTGATCTGTAATTTTACAAAAACACCCTTTAACCATGAAAGGCACTCTAGAAGCTCTGGTGAAGCCTTTAAGGCTCCCTTGAGCGACCTTATGGTGCAGAGAGGATCAGATGCTGCAGTGGAAGGGCATTAAAAAGCAGCGAAAGGTTGGGTAGGAGGGGGTTTTCAGACAAGCATGTCCAAACATGAGAGAGATAATTTTAGGGTGTACAGAGAAACAAAGGGTTAGAAAAAGAAAGCAAAACAGATTGTTGACTGTTAGACCTTGCCACAGGGTATTAGCCTGGTTTTGCCATGACAACAGAGACGGAGCAGGAACATGTCGACTATAAATGAAATTATTCTATGCATCCTTATTTGTGTGTGTCCTTTTTGGTGTCTAGTATACACCAGCCTTATGTGGGTTTGTAAAGCCTACCTATGGGCCTCATTCATTTCTGTTTGTTTCTCTATGATTTGCTCATATTCTCTACCATCTATCAGCAGATGTATGGGCTGAGGGGGATCTGCCCCCAGGCTGGCGGGAGATCTCAGACACATCCGAAGTCTATTTCTGGCATGTCCCAACTGGCACGACACAGTATGACCGACCCATCGCTTCTGCAAACCAAGAACTCGCTACAAACAATGAGCCAGACTCTGAGCATGACCCACAAAGAGAAACACAGGATTCCCTCAAGCTACCGAATGAGGTGAGAGGACCGAGGATATCAAAGGTTGATTTTTATATTGTTTTATTCGCAGGGTTGTGGAAAAATATTTGCTCTTCCGTGGATTTCTTTTGCTTTTCTATACAACCTAAATGCTTAAAATAATATCATAAAAAATATCAACATTAGACTAAGATTAGTGAGGATTTCAATATTGTGAGAGAGAAGCCATGTGGAAAAAGTGTTTTTGTTATTGAGTTAATTTTAACAAGACCTGTATACAAAAACATCCATTAGACAGAACCTGTTTAACTGCATGAAGTAGGATAAAATAACTGAAAAATTTAAAGAAATCATACCCAGAGATAATGAAAAAATAACAATTATCAATTTTGAAAGGGTTTAAAAATTCAAAGTTAGTGAAGCAATCTACCAGGAAAAAACAAATATCAACAACACTGCACAAAATAGATACTTCCTGGTGCCGCACCATAAAAGAATATACTAAAGTAAATAGTAACACTAAGGAATGGCTGGGGGAACCTCCACAATTAAAAGCAACTTAATATTTAAAACAGAAATATGTTGTTGCTTTCAATGAAAAAAACATTAAAATAAAATAAAAACACGTTTGATGTCAGAGTTCTTATAATACCTTAGAACTTAACGATGTTCTCTTTTTTTAACTGGAATCATCATCGGCTAATTTATAAACGATACTGATTCAGTTTGAGATGATACTCTTATTTGTTATTCAGACTATAAGGTATGATACGTAACAGGGCTGCAAGCTGTACAGGAAAGGTTGGAAACAATAGGGAATATAATGAAGAACAGAGGAGTTTGTTATGCATGTATTTTCCAGCTTGATAACATTTTAGAGCTCATTGTAGTTTTCTTGCTAGTTCTGTCTAAAGTACTAATACCTGGTTATATGATGCAGTTTGATGCTGAGTAAATTGGACTGTCCTCAAATCAAAGTAGCAACTATTGAACATTTTCAGGAGAAACCAGAGCCAACTATGCAGAAGAGCTGAAGGCCTCTTCCAAGGCAACCTGGGCTTCCTAACACTTCAGCTGAGTCACAGTCTGATTACCTCCAGATTGAGCTACAGTGATGTAGAAATGCATGCAAAAGAAAGCCCAACCAGGTCTTATATTTAATATACAGTACATTATGTCATTCTTTGTACAGCAACATTGGGATACAAATAAAATCTGTATTAATAATACATGATGTAAACATTTTCTCAGAACACATTTTGGTGTTTTTATTAGTTCTAAACTATATTGATCACAATTATAAACAGAAATTAATGTTTGAAATATATAACAGTGTTTGTGTAGTGAATCTATTTGAAATGAATGGCAGACATTTATCGATAAAGGTTTTTTAAGAGTGGTACCGGTTGTTTTTGCATGAATTTAACCATTTGAACCACTCGAAATGTCCTGTTAGGGTTGCCACATTTCATATATAAAAATAAGGGACACCTATGTCCAGAGTCCCCCTGCACATATAGAAAACAATATAATGAAGTGTCGCATGCACTTAATTCAGGAAGTCCATTAAATATTATTTGCAATGCTCATAAAAATTTATAATGTGAGCTAAAAAACAGCAACAAACTCGTCTGCATTCTCTATGACATCAGACTTAATGCACCCTATTCTTTGAACTCTGCAAACTGAGTCCTTTTTAAAAAAAATGAAATGCACAAAAAAAATGCTAAAAACACTTTTAAAAACTAGGAAGAGTAAAAAAATAAAAGTAAAAAAAACAACGCCTTATTATCTTGGCTTCATAGCCTACATTAAATATTGATTAATATAGAGACTAATAATTTGGCCAAGTCATGTATACATTGGCTAATACAGATGCAAGAAAAAAAACTATCAAATATAAAAATATCAACCAGCTGATGTATTTCTAACAAATTCTTCTTTTTTGCTTGATTTATTTAGATAAATTCACTTTTTAAAGAAATTCTACTTTGTTCAGATGCACATGGACTATGTAATAACTTCCTTGGATGGCAAAATGCACAAAACAGTACAGACATGTATCTTGATATGTTTTCTTGTGTAGAATATTGCTTTAACTCAGTGCTTACTGAGAGAATGTATCTACAGTATAAAGTGTTTTGTGTTGCATCTCATCCATTGCTTTTTACTAACAGCGTCCCAGCAGTTTGATATCCGACAGCTCGGTGGAGCCGGTCCCCTCCCCGTCCTCTTCACCATCCACTCCCTCCAAAGTTATCTTCTCTCCAGATCCGGTTGTCAGCTCCACCTCATCCACCACGAAAGTATGTCTGACTTTAAATTTATGATTTTGGGGGGATTTTTTTTCTGGATGTATGGGCATACATTTTTAGAAGTCCCATTAAGAAAGAAACGTGTTCCAAACTGATTTAAATTGACTGATAATTATTAGTTTTTACACAGTAAAGAAAACCAAAAGTATTTTTTTAATCTGTCACAAAAATCTATCTTTTCCAACAAATCTTTTTCAGGAGCTGAAGGACTATCCAGTCTATCCAGATCCCAGTCTAAAAGCCTTTGAAGGAGCTACCCTTCGTTATGCCTCTCTTAAGCTGAAGTGAGTCATAAGATAAACAGTACTGGAAAACATGTGTAAAAAAATAAATAAATCTTGTTGTAAAAAGTTGAGCTCTTTAATCAGAGCAGTTTTCTAATCAGGCAAAAATTACTTTGTTTAAAATAAAATATTCTTGATTTACTATTAATGCAGTGAAGCTGGTGTCAGTGTCACAAAGTTTCTCTACACTCCTCAGAACATAAAAAAAAACCAGCACATCATTTATCTAAATAAAAAGTCTTTACCTAACGGCTAAAAGGAGATTCTGCACTTCAAAAAAGGATTCCCATTTCTACAAATAGAGCTGTAAATTAAAAATTACGAAAGAAAACATGCTCTTTAACAGAATTTTAATGTGTTGTAATGTTCTATCCATGCACAGTAGATAATACATTTCACTGTGCTCACTTTAAAATAAGAATGAGCAACTTGCTGATTTTATGTTTTGATTTTAATCAGAGAGCCTCATATGTCAAGGAAAACTATTTTAAGAATATCTGTTTGTTCGCTTAATTTTATTCTGTGACTTATGCCTGATTATTCTCTGCAGCCCTCCAGCTCAGCTTGAGACAGTGGACCTCAACAGTACTTTCTCTGACCCAGATGCATTGGTAAGGATACAATACATCAGAAATGACCCAAAATGTGGATTTTGTTGTAAAGGCTTATTAAGGAACTTAGGAAGGAACCCGTACGAGAGACTTCTCTCTCCCCAGACACCTCCTCCTTCAGAAAATGGTGTCCTAAGCTCCTCAGCTGACTCCTCTCGATGTGGAGGAGAAGCGGCTCTACTCCGAGCCCCTCCTAAATGATTGAGCTCCTTTTGAGCCATGACCTAATGATCATTGTTGAGGGTAGGAACATAGACCATCAAGTAAATGGATAGCTTTGCCTTTTTGCTCAGCTCTCTTCACCATGACAGAATGGTGCGGCATCTGCGTTACAGCAGCTTCACCGTTCCGTCCTTCGATCTCCCGCTCCATTCTCCCCTCACTCATGAACAGGACCCCAAGATATTTGAACTCCTCCATTGAGGAGACGATTTATGCCAGGAATATGTTTTAATGACCTCAAACCAAATGGGGAAACTTGTTTACTGTTAACAAAAAGAAACATGCTTTATACCTAATATAGGAATCTGGTAAAACATTATTAATAAGTTAAAATTTGAAAAGGCATTCTCAAAAACCTTTCTGTGCAAATATGTGGTGGGAGTCAGAACTTTAAAATGAAATTTTGGGAGGACTTTAAATAACATTGCATTCTTGTTGCCTATACTTTGAAATTACGCGTACATAGGTCATTATGAGGAAAAATAAAACAGGAAAGGTCATAATGATCCACAAAGACAAGCATAATATGTACAGAAACAGGCTAATATGCAAAACCCAGTAAGTTTCCTAACATGCTTGTGATCTGACTGATTTGAATAAAATGTTGCCTGAAATTTAAACTCACCCTGTGGGTCATGATAACAACAATTGTTTTTTGTAAACCTTGAATATTGATTAAAGAAGAAAACGACCCACACAACCTAAATAGCTTACATATCAGCAAACACACATCCGATGATGAGCAAGGCACCAGCTTTTTCTGAAAAGTCGCTCCGCAGTCAGAGCAATATTTTGCCCTAAAATATTTTTTAAGGTTGGATGTCTATAATGACAGAAGCAACTGACATCATCCCTTTTATTTATTAGCTGTTTTTTCATAGGTATTTAGTTTCATATTCAACCCACAATACATGTTACAATCATAAAAGTTAAAAGCTTCTCTGATTTCTTAGATTTCTGTACTGTATGAATGAAAGCAAAAAAGGGAAACCATAAAGACACTATTAGTACTAAACAACACAGAGTATCAGATCCAATTGACTGTGATGTATTACTGTGACAAACAAAATATTTAAATTTTTTACTAGTTGATAAAAAGGCATCACCAGGCTCTCTCCTTAGAGCTGTTCTTATTGAGCTCACATCTCTCTTTTTGTTGCAGCGCCACTTAGTGGTCAGTTTTGTGAAGTCAGTTGTTTCACAGCCCACACTTTTTAGCAGCTTTTTTCTAGAAGAGTAAACCAAAAATAGGGTATATATAATTTCTATGACTCAGAGAACAGATGAATGATCACATATAGAGGGTTTAACCAGATTATGATAAAGGAATGCCTTATTGGATTAAATCGTCAACAAAAACAATCTTCTATTCCTATAATAAGGAAATGAAAATAAAGCCTCACATTTAAACTTAATATTCAACATTCACATTGACACATGTAAATTCATTTGGTAAATTCAAGCTTAACTACAATTAAGAATAATAAAAAAATTTTAGCAGATGATTTGTGATGGAAAAGAAAGAAAACTGGTATGTTTATTAGGAGGAAAAAAGAATAAAATGGACAATTATTTGATCAGTGGAAGATGGTGAATATCCTTTATTTGTTTAATTTGTGCTTTGCAGATTACATTTTTTTTTTAAAGGCTTTGACAATATTTTATGCAAAGGAATCCTCCTTGAAAAGATTGATGAAGAAAAACACTAAAAGAGAGAGGATGCAATATGCCAAGTTCATGCAGGGTTTTATATTTCATGTTCAAGCATCTTCATCGTCTGCAAGATAAAATGTTTTGTTTACATCAGATTGTGTATTTGGACTGAAATAATCCCTGCTCCTGAGCAGTGTTGCTCAAATTACATGTGTTTTGGTTAGTTTTTTTGTGATGTCCTGCTATAGATGTACATGCAGTTTACCCAATCATAAAATTGTAATTCATCTGACAGCATCTGAAATTCATATTAAAATATCACAGCTGTATCATACTTAAAAAGGACAGATTAGCTAAAAAAAAAAAAAAAAACCTTTTTGTGTTTCTAGTCTTTTCCAGTTCGGTCTCTGGGCTGGGTGGAGATGGCAGAGCAGGACCTGTGTGAGGGTAGGAGCAGTGTTGCCGTCCACCACTGCATCAGACAGCTGTCCTACTGCAGGAGGGATATAAGAGACTCGGTCGGAGTCTGGGGAGAGGTCAGTGTGTCAGCCAATATCTCTGCCAAGTAATCGTCTATAGAGTTCTATAAAATGCTAATGAACGTTAGATACATCCTGTCTGTCACTCTAATGTTCATAATAAGGAAGATGATCAAGATGGCTTAATTTGAACATGTTATGAGTAAAACAGACTCTAAAAAAAAGAAAACATTACAAAAATTAAAACAACAAAGACAATAAATGGTAATATATCAATGATTGTTATCATTTAAAAAAGGTAAGAAGAAACTGAGCCTTTGTTTTCTCACTCCTTCTCCACTACTTATTATTGATATTTATCATTTTCCTTAACTTTTATGATGAACCAAAGTCTTACTGTATGATCTGTTGCATATTTTGGTGAAGACATACAGAGGTGTTGTCCTCAAATACAGTTTAATGTAAAATAAAAATAAAAAAACCCCAAACATTCTTGAACAAAAACTGTATTTTTTAAGCCTTTTTTTAGAAAGGTAAACTTATAAAGGCTGAGAGGTAGATATAGATATACAAACAATGAAGAGAGGAGAAGTATTTTTTTTAGACACCCCAAATTCAGGCTCCCATAAGAAATAGAATAGACGCTTTCATGAGTCTCCAAATTATCCTTCAGCTTTGGTCAGTAGATAACACAGTGATGGTGAAGGACAGTGACTATACAGATGTCCAGAAGGCAGTCTTTCACAAGGTTTAGCCATAAAAGGTGGTTGCTAAAGTGTCTGAGTGTTGCATGCAAAGATAGTAATAGAAAGTTGAGTGGAAAGAAAGAGTGCATTAATAAAGGTGCAGCAGCAACAGGAATACCTGGAAATTTAAGACGATTCTGAAGCAAAATCTATTCAGTATTTTGGGTAGTTTAACAAGGAGGAGACAAAGGCTGGGTTTGCTGCACCAACAGCCTCTGAGCAAAGACAAATCCTACACATGGACCGGAAATATCCTACCTGAGCTAAGGAGGAAATCAGCTGGACTATTGCTCAGTGGTTCAAAGTCCTTAAGGTGAAAGTAGATTGTTTTAATTAGAAATCAAGCTCCCAGTCTGAAGGAAAAGTTAGAAGCATTTACTTTACATTGCTTGAAGTCCAGTCTGATGTTTCCACAGTAAGTGATGGTTTGGGTTGTGATCTGCTGGTAAATTCTCCTCAGAGGAAGATAGGATGTCAATATGACTTACATAAATCAGGTTTAAATGTTTGTATATTAAAAGGTATAATTACTCCCAGAAATATGCATCACATGAAAGTATCCATTCTAAACAACAAAAGTCTCCCTCATGATCACTGGTAAAAACCTCATTGAAGTGTGGAAAAACTGCATCTAATGTAACCTAGATAATCTATAAGACTGCAGTAGGGAATATCACATTGTTGCAGACAACTGAGGGTTAACTACTGCCATACCATGCCATTGAACACTTCTGGTTCTAAGCAGAAAGTAAATATTGCTGTTTCTTTTTATATATATAATTTAGAAACTCTAATCAGTTTTGAGCTGCAGGTTAAGAGTCTTTCTGTGTGCATTATTCCAGGGTAAGGGCATGCTGCTTGTGCTTCAAGATCGCATGTTAACTTTGGTTGACCCAGATGATCGCAGCTTGCTCCACTCCCAGCCAATCAGCAGTATCCGTGTCTGGGGGGTCGGACGGGATCACGACAGGTAGGATGATATAAAAGTCCTCTTTATATAACTGGAATCATTTTCAGAATGTAGTGCAAGAAATTATCTACTACTGTAAAAGGCTTGATTTTTTTGTAATTTAAGTCATTATCTATTGTAAGTCATTGAAATTAGAAGTCTTGATTTGTTAGATAATATATTGTGCCATAGTCAGTTTCTGAAATGCAATATTTTCTGCTTTTTGTTAGATTGCAGCTTGAAAAGCAGCAGTTCAATCAAGTCTTTATGACGTAAATAAACTGCCTGCTCTAGTAGCTATTGTATACAGATGTAGTTTTTGCACATAAAATATAGGATTTTACATTAAAATGTCTATTTTTCTTTTAATTAATTAAGGTAATAAACATAACAGAGAATTGGATTTAATTTGAAATCCTCTGATATTTTTATTTCTTTTATAAACCTATTTTTTTTCGCAACCTTAAAAAAATTATATCTTTTGATGTTGGCAAGATTTGACTTTATAGATTAAAAATCAACTCCACAGGGAAATAGATGTTCACACAACCCTAAATACATTAATATACTGTACATTCTCATTGCTCAGACTCTACACTAGGAAGCTTCTGTTGGTAACCCATTGCTACTGTGTTATTATGCCTTTACATTCCCGCTTATTTGATCAATTCCCAATTGTCTATTATGCTTTTGAATATAAAGGAGATGTAAACTGAAACATATAAAACATTAGTATGACAGTGACAGAAACTGAACGTGCATCCATTAGATTGTGCATGTGTGTAATTTTTCTGGAAGCTGAATCAGGAGTTTTATCAAATCACAGGAGAACAGAGTTCCTCTCATTGTTATTCCATCTGTATTTGCAAAAACTGCAACCCTGTAATTATTTTTATTTTCCAATCCTTCTGCTTTCCAGTAATGACCCCATGGGACCTTAGTGATTTACAAATGTCCCATGGTTTTAACTTTTTAGTGTTGAGTTAACAATGTGCTGATGCTTGCACACCTGCAAATGGGGGAGGAGGGGTCTAGGTTTCAATTCAAAGCTTCCAATACAGGATTTCTACATACAGTGCCATGAAAGAAAATGAAAAAAACATTGGCTCCCTTGAGAACTTTTTATGGTTTGTCCTTTTTATCACATTTGCATGCTTCAAATCCTAAAAGAATTTTTTTGGATCATATACTGAATAAAAATAAAATGTAGGTTTTTGGCCCTGTACAAAAACATAATCGCTTTGCTTGTTGATTCATAGATCGACTGTAATTAACCATTTTTTATATTCCACATCGGTGGCACATGTAGATCTAATGGCTATTAGGAAATCAGATGAACAAAACTTGTCTGAAATCATCAAGCAGGCAAAATTAAAAAAAATCTCAAAAAGAAAACGTCAAAGACAGACAGACAGACAGATGTTACCGGTAAGTCTTTTTTATACTTTCTATGGTCAGATCCTGACCCCTTCCCTAAACCTAACCATTATAAATACGCACCAATATCCTTACCCTAAACAAAACACAATTCACACCTTAGCTCTCAATCTAATTTCTGCCAAAATAGCTTGTGAGGACCAGGAAATTTCCTCATTTTAAAACAACTGGACCTCACTTTGCTGGTAAAATAAGACGGATGACATTCAGATGGCTGAACAGGAACACACAGATACGTGTAATGTTTCACGTCCTTATGGAGACTTTGATCTGACCTCCATTCATTTGTATGGCCTAGTCCCTATAGCACAAAAGAAAAAGAAAAGAATAGAATAGAAAATCCCTTTATTGTCCAATATTGAAGGGATATAATATAATATTGTCAATTAATTTACAACTGGATCCTTTTGATTCACCAAGGCTCAAATATGATTCAATGCAGTTGTGAGATGTTTGTGAGATTTTTAGTGCTATATATCCTACTTATTTATATAACTAATGTCCCGAGGAAGCTGATTTTAAGCAGCAAAAATGTCATATATAAGTCTTGTATGGCAACACTGGCTCTAAGTGTATTAGCCCACTATAAAAAAGGACTATGTGCACTTGAATATATAATAAGCATTCATGATTAAATGTTTTTCCTGGAGCAAATGTCACATCATATGACTTATCAACTGTATGGCATTCGGTGCTCTACGTTTAAATTCTATCGCATTATGAATGTATTAGGTTTTGTTGTTTACATACCTGCTCAATCTGTAGATGGTTTTCCATGCTTGCAGCAAAACTGGCAGTAGTAGTGGAGTTTGAAGAAGCAATCCACTTCTTAAATCTATCTTTGCTCTCCTCTAATTTATACAGAAGTACTGCAATCGCAATTTTCCCTCTCTCCCAAGTTTGTGATTTGCTGCAAATTTTGCATGCCTTCCCTGGAAATGCCTTTCCGAATTACTGTTTTTATTATTTGACAACTTCTCAATTCAAAGCAAACATGCAGGCAAGCCTTCTGCATTGGTAATGAAAGCAAAGGATTCAGTCATTTCTTCTTTGAATCCTCTGTTTTCATCAGCTATTTTCCTTTTTCCCCCTGGTGATCCGTGGCCTGAGACACACCTGTCATTTTCTTTTCAACAGCCCCCTGCCTGGCACCATGCCACGCTAAACCGTGTGTTTCAGGCTATGACGCAAAACTTCATTGACAGAAACGTTTACATTTATTGTTTAAATTTACTTATTATACAACTTTGAATAGCATTGGAAAATATAATAAATGTTTATTTGACCACCTACACACCGTATTATAAGCATTTTTCCATTTTCATACATTTTTGAAAAAGCTCCAGGGAGCTGCGAGGGGGACATTAGAGAGCCGCGGGTTGATCTACAGTATTACTTGTGATTGTGAGGCTATGGTTGCTGTGGTAAGCAGTCTTAAAACTCAATTTATAGCTTAGTCCTAAACCTCACCATAAACCAAGAAGATAACTTCTGAAGACTAGTTGATTGGTCCCCATGAGCAAAAGAAAAAGTACCAGCAAGTCCCCACAAAGGAGCATATTCCTGGACATATTTCTGTCCTTACAAGGTGACAAATACATGGTGCCAAATACACAAAATGTATGAAGAGGAAAATGCTGCAGGTTGAAGGGTAAGGTAAAATTCCTGTTGGGGGGGCGATGCTGTTGTAATATTGTTATAGGAGGAACAAATTGCATAGAGGAAATAAAGCATCAGTGAGAGATGTCCTAGGTTGACCCTTTCCTCCTCCTCAGCCTCCTCCTTCTAAAGCTACACGTTTTATCCATTACCGCTGAGAGACAGTTGCTGAAAGTTTTTCAGTCCTCTGAGATGTTAGATGATGGAGGGACTTTTCTGTCTTTCTTCTTCCCTCTTTATCTCCCTCTCACACATCATGCGGCAGAGTCCTAAAAGGAGGATAAAAAGATAGAGAGAAGGTAAAGGATTAATGAAAGATGAAGGAGACAAAACATTGGAAACTTCTCTATCTTTGACTGATGATTCTTTGAAGTGGCTTTAAGGTTTCTTTACATTTACCTTAAAGCCTTTGTTTTGGATTATTTTACTGACACAAGGGAGGATTACATCTCCATTAATAAGAAGAACATTCAGAGCTGTGAAAAACGATTCTCCACAAATTTCTTATCACATTTAAACCTTAACCTTAAATCACCAATTAAAGTTTCATTTAAAAGGCAAATTTGCTAGAGTAATTTGAATGTGTTTTGAGGTAATATTTCATGTATTAAAGAGTGAAATGCTACCCAAGTCAACCTGGGCTTATGTTATAAAGTAAAGTAGCTAAAAAAAAAACAAGTTGTTTGACTTGATTTTGGGCTTTGAATCATTGTTGTGCTTCACATTAACTGAAGCTTAACATCACAAAGTAATGGTCCAGGCTCTTTCAAAGCAGCAAAGCAAAAACACACACCCTGACCATCATAGTACCACCGCAAGGCAATGACGTTTAGTATGTTTTGCTGAAATTCTGGTACTTTTATCTCAGATCTTGCAAAATAAACAGTTTCTAATAAGTTACATGTGGTCTTACTTAAGTTTTTTCTTTGTAAATTTGTTCAGCAGTGTTTGTTAGCAACCGCTGTTGTTTTTGGCTTGTCAACTCTCCCAATGAGACAAAGAGAATTTTTTCTTTTTCTTATTCTTGAATCATGAATACTGACCTTACGGGAGGCAAAGGAGAAGTGCTTTATATGCTTTCTTTTCTGCCCTCCTGGATGAGTTGCTGAGGTTCTGTTTGATTTATTCTGGTTATTCACCCATTTGTAGACAGTGGCACTTCCTGTGGTTTAATAATTTAACTAAAAAATCTTTTGAAAGATAGTTTGTTTGAATTCAGTTTGCGCTTATATATGGATGAAGATATTGTGTTGCATTGGTGGTTTTTAGAGCTGAATGGCAAGGTAGTAAATCTTTAAGGCATTGCTTTCCATCTACAGAAATCATTACCTCATTCAATCATCAAACAAAGCTTGGTTTCCTTGTTTAAAAATGCCATAGAAAAGTGTTATTGTGTATTTTGTAATAACTTAGATTAGACAAAATAATACCATGTGTTTTGCAAATTTTACTACAAATTTATATTCCTTAGATCTGCCACTAGAGGGCATTGTCATCAAGTTTTGCCCCGAGAAACAATGAAACCAAAGTTTCATACTTCTAAAAGTTTGTCTCATTTTATCACTTCATAAACCTTGAACCTTAATGGATTTTTTGTGAGATATACCAACAGACGATTGTGTGATCTGGAAAGAAAATCATACAGGATTTTTTTTTATTTTTTTTTTTACAGATTTTACAAAAAAATCTAAAAGTCTGTTTCCAGACTCCTTAGTCAATACCTTGTAGAACCACCTTTGGAACCAGATACAAGTCATGTCTCTGACAGCTTTCCACATTAAAAGACTTAAACAGATGTTTCAGATCAATGAAAAAAAAAAGTTGTCTTGGGAAAAAAAAAAACTTTTGGTTTCCTTCTAGCTTTTCTATTGCCACATGTTAAAAAAAGACTTATGGAAAGGCACTAGACTGTGAACTGCTTACTG